AAAGTTTGAGACAGAATAGTACGGGTGGACATTTAAGTATATAATAATGACATTAAGATGGAAGAAGCTTAAGGTATATTGAGCCTCAAACTAGATGATCAAAGTATCAAAAAATATATTTAAAAGGTCTTTTAATGCTTATTTTTTTAATTTTTATCTTATGTGCATTTGTGTTTTTGTCATGGCTGTCAGGCCCCTAGAACTGGGATTACAGACAGCTGTGAGCTGCCATGTGGGTGCTGGGAATTGAACCCGGGTCCTCTGGAAGAGTAGTCAGTGCTTAACTGCCAAACTATCTCTCCAGCCCTTAAAACTTTTTTTGAAATTCATGTTAGATGATAATCTGGGTTTAAGTAATGGTTTCAATTTAGGCTTATCTCTAATATTTTAATATAGTCACATACCAGAGTTTAAATAGAAACAAACTATAAAGATGGAATTATCTTGAGACAGTAAGGAGTTTTAAAAAAAAATACAATATATAATCAGTGTGGTAAGTTCTAACATGTTTGAAGTAGCTCTTCAGTAAAAACTGTGACAGAAATTGATTATCAATATGTAATAATACAGTCACTTATATCTAGAGAACTATCAAATTCACTGAAACAAGCCTTCCTTTAAGTCCACTGCAAGGAAGGGTATGATCTCATGAAGCCATTAGACTAAAAAGCAAACACTGTCCACCTTAGGACCCCCCCCCCAAAGAAACAATGCTATTACTCTTAAAAATAATAGCTTCAAAAATCAAAGGAACCAAGATACTAACTGCACCAGGAGACAAGATGCCTCTGCAACACAGGCAGCATCTTGCTCTAATTTTACTGATCAGCCCGCCAAATGAGCCTCCTGGTCGGCAGAGGGCAGCATCAGACGCAGTTTGTATTTGACAAAAGCAGCGGGGGCCGCTCTCTAACGTGACTGCATCACAACCAGGCGTAACCATGACACATCAAAAATAAGAAGGATCCATGTGCCATCTCGTGGCGAAAAGGAGAAGGGCACTGCTGCATACAGATTCTCAGATCCCTGCACTTTAGAAGGAATTAAAGCTAAATTATCTTTACCTTCCCTTAAATCTCCACCAGTAATTGCTCCCTGGAACCTACAACAGCAGCTTTCTACAAAATTTCCTCCTAGTTTAGCTTTTAATCTCTGAATTACTAGCTGTAAGAAGGCAGCAGATCCTCCTGTCTGATATTGGTACCTAAAATAAAGAGGATGAAACACAACTCAACCAAAAATAGCAGCAAAAGACCATAGAAAGTTGTCAAAATAAGAATCAGAGATTATGACAGACTGTGCCAAAGATAGTAACTGCAAAAGAAACAGAGGAGAGAAAGTAACAGACCCAGAAGTTCAGAACACCGACCTCACTGTACAGACGAGGAAAGGGCTGATATATGAGGAAAACCTCTGGTGCAATTTTATGAGTAAACAGATTAAAACAAGATATATTTTACCTCATCAGAAATTTTAATTTCTTATTTTTGGCAGAAGTATGAATTGTTATAATCTTATAAACCCAGTGATATGAGGTGAAAAGAATGTTACCTTTCAGAAATCACTGTGCAGAAATATAAAGTACACAAAGATAAATAGGATTTTTCCTGTAGTCACGTTTGTAAAATAAAATACTGAAACAAAATTCTCAATAAAGGATTAGTTATATATAAAGCTTTTATTATTCATGACAGAACACAACTGTCCACTTGAAATCAATACATAACACAAAACTTTAAAAAAGAAATAAGGCAAATTTGTATATAATAATATCAAGAGATGGTAAAGGATGTTACACAAAATGTAGAATAGTATTTACCATGTGGAATCAGTTTGCTATACTAAAAAATATATACATGTTATTACTATAATTGGTCCTTAATTTTCCAATAAAGTTCTGTTTGATGTTTCCCTTTTTTATTCACATGAACTGAATCTAAATTAATTATGTGAATAACATAGGCATATAAAAGGCATGGTTAACCATGGTTACCACAGGAAGAAGGGAGATTGCTCTGTTTTAGAGTTTCAGTGTATTCTATACATTGTGGCAATGATGGTTAGTCATTCAGGAACTGCCTTTACAACAGAAAATAAGGAACACAGAGGTACAAGCTTTGAAAGTTCACATTCTGATTGCTTCAGTTTTCTCTAGGGAATTCTGGGCCTTTGAGAGAAAAGGTGTGAAGACAGCAATTTAGGAAAAGTACAAATCTGAGTAGATTAGAAATGTTTAAAGGAAGCTGGTGAGATGGCTCAGTAGCTAATGATGCTTGTCACCAAGCCCGGAGACTGAGCTTGATCCTCCGATCCACACGATGGTGAGAACCAGTTCTCTCAGGCGGTCCTCTGACTTCCCAAAGAGCACCACGATACTTGTGTGTTGTACCTCTACCCATACAAAATACATGTAATAAAAGAATAAAAATTGGGGAAAAAACAAAAAAACGAACCCCAGAAATGTTGAAAGGTCAGTGTGGTGGCACCTGCCATCCTATAATACCAGCTCTTGAGGAGAATCAAAAAGATATTGCATTTGAGGTCAACCTGGGCTGCAGGTTGACTAGGTTACTGAATTTAAGGTCAGCATGGGAAACATGACACCCTTTATCAAAAAACAACTAAGACAAACCAAAAAATAAAAAAAAATACTTAGGATACAACTACCTAGAGGTTTCAAAGACCAAGCAATATAATGAGGAGCAATAGACAATGAGACAAAAATAAGAATACTTACTATCTGGGAAGCTAAGAGAAGAAAGTACCGAGGCAGGGAAGGGTAGTGTGTGGTCTCTTCCAATAAATCAGAGATACACAGCTACAGATCCAGTGTGGACAAGGTGGAATCAACAAGGATCATGGTTTTACCAACCATGATGAAATGAGAGAGACCAGAGGAATGATTATTATGTTTAGCCATAGAGTTTTAAGTGAGGGGTGCAGTCATCAAGGAGGTGAGACAGGCTGGAAGTGCCAGTATGCCTGGAGGATTGCTGGGGTCACAATACTGAAGAGAAGAAAGTGGGCTGGAGATGTGCTGTTAGTGGAAACAACTATCTGTGTGAGGTCCCAGTTTTGATCTTCAGTTTTGTAAATGTGGGGCTGACAGAGCACATAGGACCAACATAGGTTGTAGAACACTAAGCTAGCGGAAGGGCTCCAGTTACTTATCATGCACACAGGAGAGGAAAGGTGAGGAGGAGTAAAAAAGGAACTGAGAGACGTACGCAGCAAGAATCCTAAGGGAATCATGGCACTTTATATAAGAACTGGGGGGAAATCAGGGCTGGGAGATGGCTCAGTGGGTAGAGCACTTGCCACTTAGCCTGACGACCTGAGTTTGATAAGGGACCTACATAGTGGAAGAAGAGAACTGGTTCCTAAATGCTGTCCTGTGATGCCCATATGTACACTGTGGCATGCACATATCCATACACTCACCAAGTAATTTTTTAAAAAAGAACGATGTTGTGGAAAGTTAAATTAGAAGTAGCACCAAAGAATGAAGAACAATCAGGATCTCATTTTGTGGAGAACTCAAGAGTAACTTATAGTATCAACAGATGGTAACACAAAGGGAAGTGGGCAATACAAACTGGTATCAGATTCCAAATCATTAGTTTCTAGTAAAGAGAAAAGCACAAAGAGATGACAAAGAACAAAAAGGGTACCACCCCCTCTCTAGGACCTCTGGGGTGAGGAGGACAGAAGGGAGCAGGAGAGACCGAAAGGAAAAGCGGTACTGAGGGCAGTCGAGGATTAACACACAGTGCTGTTCTAGGAACAGACCATCAATTCTAGAGAGTACTATGAAATATTTTTGAGAACTTAGTTGGAAGACAGAATAAAAAATACACAGAATCTTAAGAGATTGAAATATGGGAGACTGAGAAGGATTGAAGACTGTGGAGCTTCCTGCGGCAACAAAACCTTGGCATAATATCAGATTCTGTAGACCTCAATATGTCAAAGTTCGAGAAAGGATATATACAGGCTCACTTTATAACCACCGGTGAGACAGGTAACAACACAAAATACATGTAGCACATTATCATATAAGTCAGATTCCTTAAAACCCAGATATTGGGTAAATTTGTAATTTTAGATCACAAAGAACTTCCAAATGTTTTGTGCTAACAGCCTCACCCTCCTCAAAATCCAGGATAAGCTAGTAAGGAAAGGTAAAACAACCCCAACAGGTGAGTGGACAGCACCTCTGGGTCTACTGAACTTTAGAAACAGACAGAACAGACATCTTTCTGCCAAGAGACTCGCTGAACAGGGGAAGCAGGTTGAGCTCTCACAATCTTGTTTCTAGAAGCTTAAAGTGGCAGAAGCTATAAAATTCCCTAACATTAGCTGGGCATACTGTTGCAAACCTGTAATCCCAGCACTCAGGACACAGAAGCAAAACTTCCAAATGAGGTTGCAGGCTAGTCAGTGCTAAGACCCTGTCTCAGAAAACAGCAAGAGCAAAAGATTTGTGAATACTAATAAAGATACAATTGGGTGAATGCCACCTAGTGGACAGAAGAAAGTCACAGGGAAATGGCAAACACCCTCTTTCTTGCTGGGGAAGGGATTACTGGCCCCTCTAAAGGCTCCTCCTGAAGCCCAAAGCCAAAATAAAACTAGGCAGGAGCAGCAGACTGGCCAGCGACCTACTGTTGCCCATGCTCTGACTCCTGTATCAACAGTAACAAGCTGTAGAATAAAGACGAATTTGGTCTAAACCTAGCTAGAATACTGCTTTTAATAAAGATGAAAATAAAATTTAACTACTAGGTATGTTCCCAAGAACTTAAAAGGCAGAACCAACAGAATCCATGATAAAAGACTCCTTGCTGATCACAACAAGATGAAGTGAGAATGTAGACTGGGGGGAGGGGGGAAGACTAGCAAATTTCCATCTTCTAATGAGAAATCCCCTTACACTTATTTAATCTTTTTCTCTAATACTCAATACTAATAACTGACCCAACTAAAATTTGCATTCTTACCTTTGGAAGCTGCAGGAACCAAGGGCCAGGAGGAAAAAGCATCAGATATTGAAAAGAAACAAAACAGGAATTACAGATGGAACTTGGTTATTATAGATAGTTGTAGCTCAGTCACCCAACCTGTTCGAGTCACTTGCTGACCCTACTAATTAAATACTCTGCTCTAAAAACAACACTTTAAGACAGAGCCATAATTCATTCAAGATAACTATTAAAATGAGCCTAAGCTGAGCTTTTGGTACCTTGTATCCTTGTTAGTATACTGCCGCACAATACTTACAGCAGCAATTCTCTTTCCCAGCCCCATAGTAACAAAAACATTCTCTTTTCCTTGGAATGGAAAAAAAAATCAATGTCTCCTCTTCCCAAACCCCTTCTACCCTCACCAGGGAAGGGAAAAGCTCTCCCTGTCTGGAACTAAGGAGAGCACTCACTTTTGGTCTGGGCAGAGAAGGCAAGGGTAAGTTTGGCAAAAAGTTCGTTGTTCTCAAAGCGGTCTTCTTTCACCTTTGTCCAGAAGCAGTCCTGGGAAAGGTCCTCAGCCACGAACTGTATAAACAGACAGTGGTAAGAGCTACTGGGCTGTACTCTAACTCCCTGTGCTAGAAAAGTGACTCTAATTATCAGCAATGTTGACTAGCCTGGGATTAATTTAGTAGCTGTGCCCTTCATAGGGAAGCAGGAGACAATGCTTCTGGTAAGTTTACTGGTAACTAGTCAAGAACCAAAATCAGTTATGCTGATCTTCCTCCTAATCCCAAATTTTCTAGTTTCACAAGCATTAAAGTCTTATTTCCAATGTTCCTTGCTCTACACTTCCCCCACGAATCTGGCTATGTTTAACTTAGTTTCTAGAAGCAAAAGAATGACCCAACCACAGGGGTCACAAACACATCGTTGGTTGTACAAGCATAATTTCAGTCATGTGCACCCTAATGAAGTGACAGCTGTCAAACTACCATAGTGCTCATTTTACCAGAGAAAAGTCAAATGCATTAAGATAGGTTAACTTTCAGTAAGATATATTCACGTAGGGCCCACAAATCTTTCTGTGGAAATATCTGAAACAGAGATGTTGTATAAACATAAACACAAGTAGAACTTGAAGGTCAGATATGAGCCCTAAAAGTGGGTAGCCTACCCCTACACAAAAATAAGTCAGGAAAAGTAGTTTAAGATCTTATGCTGTAAAAAAAACTTACCTTGGACCAGTTTGGCCTCCGGAGCTGCACCTCTGGCTTATAAACTTTTTTAGGGGTTAATCCAAATGGCAGAACTGGGGCTGCAGGAATCCCAACTCCAAAGGGGGGAGGTGGAGGCACGCCTATTCCAGGTGGAGGAGGAGGAATGCCAGGGCCTCCAGGCAAAGGGGGAGGGGGAGGAGGCAGTCCTAGTCCTCCAGGCAAGGGAGGGGGTGGGGGGACGCCAGGCAAAGGTGGGGGAGCTGGTATACTAGCACCTCCAGGCAGAGGAGGAGGTGGGGGGATGGCGGCACCTCCAGGAAGAGGAGGTGGGGGTGGGGGAGGTGGAATAACAGTGCCAGGGTCACCAGGCAGAGGCGGGGCAGGGGGAACAGCAGCACTGCTAGAAACAGAAGGAGCAACAGCTACAGCAGAGAGAGAAGCCATTTCCTTCTTGGCATCTTCTAGCTCTTTTGACAGCTTGGCAACCTAAAGAAGCAACACAGAGTAAGTACTTCTCACCCCACTTCAAGGACTACTAGAGCTGCAAAGGACCTAGGAAAGCACTTAACCCAAATTTCTGTTTAACCATAGATGGATTTAGAGGTCAGATTACATGATTCTTCTCAAAGTCACACTGCTACTTAGGAGTAGAGTAAAACTAGAACTCAGTTTAGTTTTAGGGTGCTAACTGAAGTATGTGCTATGCAGTTAATCCCACAACTATACAAAAGATCAAGTTAGCACTACCGTAGGTTGTCTACATTTTTGTAACTGCAGAGAGAAGAGAGTGAAGGTGTCACAAAAGCATAAACTAAGTTGCATGGGCAAATAAGTCAATAGCTTACTGTTGACTCCCAAATGCATAGGTCAGTTCTGGATTCTGCCGTAAGTAACTTTAATCTTTCTTTACATTCTTCTATATCTATATCTAAATGTTTTGTCTTAAAATACCATATCCCAAAGCAAGACTGAAACCATTAAATGACTGTTAAAACACACCATCTACTTGATGATCCAGCTGCTCTTCCCTAGCACAGGGAACCTATGATCGTTTGACCCATGACCAGCACAGTTGAGCTATGGAGGGCAGCTGCGGTCCTGCTCAGACATTACCTCTCCGGTCAGCTTCGACACCTCCGCTTCTAGATCTTGTTTTTCTGTAGCAATCTGTTGCTTTTCGGAATCCAGTGCATTCTTTTCTCCTTGCAGATCCTGAAGTTTCTGCTCAAAGTCATGTTCCATCTTTTTCATTTCTACTTGTAACTCATGCCGGGCTGTTAACTCTGAGTCCAACTAAAGAAAAAAAAAAAATCAGATTCCCAGCAATCTGTCTGTCATAGCCTCAGTTGTAAACACAAAAACCTACATGTAGTCACCAGGGAAGAGGGAACCTCAACTGAAGAATTGCTCAAATCAGACTGACTTGTGGTCATGTCTGCGTAGCATCCTCCTAACTGCTACTATGGATTGTGCCATCCCTAGGCAGATAGACCTGGGATGTTTAAGAAAGGTAGCTGGTCAAGCCAGTGGTAAGAATCCAGGAGCAGCATTTCTCTAGTTTCTGCTTCAAGTTCCAGCCTTAGCTTCCCTGATGACAGACTATCAAGTGGAAGATAAAATAAATCCTTTCCTCTTCCAGTTGCTTTAGGTCCTGGTGCTGATCACGACAACAGAAATCAAACTAGGATGCTGCCCACCCCAGTTAGGAACAGAAGGCTAGTTCCTGTAATTTACTATTTTGTCTCAACACCTACTCTATAGAGCTCACTGACCCATCTAAGTAATGCTTTGAAAAGAAGAGAACAGTATGATCTTGACTTTAAAATCAAAGTTAAAGAGAGGAGACAAGAGATCATGTTCATAGTCTTCCTACTTATATAGCCAGAAACCAATTCAGCTAATCGAAGACTTGAAAGACCTTTCATCATGCCCTGGTTAGTTTTATGTCAACTTGACACAAGCTAGAGTCATCATAGAGGAGGGAGCCTCAATTGAGAAAATGCCCTTATAGCTAGGCAGTAATGGGGCAGCACTCAGGAGGCAGAGGAAGACTGAATTCGAGGCCAGTCTAGTTCAAAGAGTGAGTTCCAGGACAAGACAGCCAAGGCTACAGAGAAACCCTGTCTCAAAAGTCAAAAGGCCTAAAAAGAAAAAGAAGGGGACAAAAAGGAAAGAAAATTGAAAAAAAGAAACTGCCTCTGTAAAATTGGGTTGTACGCAAGCCTGCGGGGCATTTTCTTAATTAGTGATTGATTTGGGAGGGCTCAGTCCATTGTGGGCCGGACCACCTCTGTAGGCTGGTGTTTCTGACTTAAGAAAGCATGAGCAAGTCATGTAAGTAGCACCCCTCCATGGCCTCCGCATCAGCTCCTGCCTCCAGATTCCTGCCCTAGGTGAGCTCCTGCTCTCACTGCTTTTGATGATCAACTGTTATAGAGAACTGTGAGTGAAATAAATCTTTTCCTCAAGTTGCTTTTGGTCATGGTGTTTCAACACAGCAATAGTGACCCTAACTAAGACAAATCAGGACAGCTGCCTTGCACAATTCCAGCCACAGCAGGAATCCTTAATTACTACAGAAATAACAGGAATTGAGGCATATTCCACTTCCTACTGTCCTGGCATAAGAGGAACACTTACACAGAGTATCATCCATCTTTGCTGGCTTGCCTGGTGGCCCAAGAACATTGCGAGATCACCTCTAGCTTCTATTTCACATCAATACTTTTGTCTCACTAACAAAAAGATTTCCCTCTAGGAACCTTTAGATTCTGAATGCTTTCAAAATATCATAGACAATACTGTCTCACATGTCAAAAAACAATTATCTTCAAAGAAAAATATATACCCCAAATTTACGTGTGTATGTTTGTTTTGCACATATATGTATTTGTGGTTTACACTAGAGACTGAACCTAGGCTTCCTCACACGAAAAGTAAGCACTGATCCCTTCATACGCACCTTTTTTTCTAGCTCTGTAGCTTTGGCCTCAGATTTTTCCACCTTTGTTTTATCAATCATTTGATCTGAAAATAAAAAACAATTTGATCTGAAAACAACTCAGTAAGCAAAGTTCTGTTTCCTAAGCCTGTGCCTCTGCTCCTAAGCCTCCAATATACTCAAGGGCAGTTGTCTATCCTTTTGTTGCTGTTACTCTTAATGTTCTACACTAGAACAAGAAATGCAAGTTTCAATTAAATACAATTTACACTTTCTCTTAATTTTATTTATACAGTTGTTTTACTTTTTGTGTGTATGTGAGTGCATGAGTGTATATGTATGCATCGAGTATAGGCATGTGTATGTAAGACATGTGAGTGCATGAGTGTATATGTACGCATCGAGTATAGGCATGTGTATGTAAGACATGTGAAAGTCAGATGACAACTATCAAGAGCGGCACTTGCCACCATAAGGAATCTGGGGCACAAACTCAGGTCCTCAGGCTGGCATGCAAGCGCCTCTACTTACTGCCACCCTGCTCGTCCTCAAGCTATGAGTTCTAAGTGCGAGGTACAGCAATCACACGAAGGATGGCTATGTGTGACTTTTATGATTTTGAGACCAGCAGGGTCAGAAAATGCTGAAGTCTGCAAAAAGCAGTATATAAGAAAGGGCAAGATTTTCAGTTTGTGCAGAAAAAAACTAAAGAGACCACATAATCCTCGCAAAAAGGGTATACTGAGAAAGAACAAAAATAGGGACAAAGAATCATTTCCTTAAATATTTCACTGAAAGAAGAAAACAAAAGGTATAAGCACTGGATGCTTTGATGAGTCAAGTAGGAAAGCCTGCTTACCAATCAATCCCTCAATATCAATCTGGAGGTGCCGGCACTTGAAGTCAGGATCAGTTCCATTCTTGTGTAGAACTATCTGAGAAATACATTCTTCAATCAATTTATAGTACTGTGGCCTATGAAAGAAACAAAACAGACTTACCAAAGTGAAATCAAAATGTAACTTCCAGAAGTATTCTGGATCAAGAAAAGCTAACTTCTTTGGAAATAAAGAATTAAGGATAAGTATTCTGAAAAGAGCTTAGGTGAAGCTAAAAAGCATCACTGCTGTGCTAGGGAATTCTCTTCTAGACCAGCTTTTATTCTTCCTACTTCAGAGACTCAACAGTTCTTATAGGCTGGGCTGTAGTTCAGTCATGTGGAAAACATGAATGCCAACATGCACACACTCTCATGCACACACTTAAAAATATTTATTTTTTATTGTGTGTATATATCTGTGTATATGCACATGTATAAAAGTGCCCATGGAGGTCACAAGTGTCAGGTGGAATTACAGGTGGTTTGTGAAGCTGATATGAGTGTTGGGAACTGTTGGATCCTCCACAAGAACAGTATGCATGCTTAACTTCTGAGCTATCTCTCATCCCCCAACAAACAGGGTTTCTCTGTCAAACAGTCCTGGCTGTCCTGGAACGCACTTTGTAGATCAGGTTAGCCTTGAACTCACAGAGATCTGCCTGCCACTGCCTCCTTAGTGCTGGGATTAAAGGTGCGCGACACCACTGCCTGTCCCAACATACTTTCTTAACATCTGCTTCCCAATGCCCGTACTTTCCCATTTAAATAAACAGTGAGGCTTGATTTGTATGATCCTCCTTGTCAGGCTACTGCTGATCTCTACATCCAGGCAACCAGAAAGAATTTTAGGTTGCCATCTGTCTTTACTGTCATCCTTACCCACTTACCCATTCCTTTCTTTTTTTTTTTAAAAAAAAGTATTTATTTATTTATTATGTATACAATATTCTGTCTGTGTGTATGCCTGCAGGCCAGAAGAGGGAACCAGACCTCATTACAGATGGTTATGAGCCACCATGTGGTTGCTGGGAATTGAACTCAGGGACCTTTGGAAGAGCAGGCAGTGATCTTAACCTCTGAGCCATCTCTCCAGCCCTTACCCATTCCTTTCTAAGGGCATTCCACACAATGACTATTCCAAAGAGGGGCCTTTCAACTGAACTAAAGCAGTTCAGTTATGTTGATCAAACAGCTGACAACTTCTTTTAGATTTGTGACTAATGAACCCCCACAATGTTTTTTCTTTCTTTTTAAACTTTCTAGAACAATCTTTGAATTTAAGGATGCTGCTTTTCCACACAGACTCAACATTTCCCACAGGTATATAAGCTTACCTAGCCTCATAATCATTTCGAACCAATAGGAGATGCTGCAGGATGGACAGGAAGTGTGGCTCTGCCTTTGAGTCTTTCACTGTGTTCAAAAGAATCTGGAAGATTTCACCAAAGTCAGTAGAGAGGACAGGCTAAGGAAATCAAACATTTAGAAGCTGTTTGACAGGTGGTTTGCTGAAAGATGTCACTTCCACTCTAACAACTGTTCCAAAAACATCTCTAGTTCCTTTAGCCAAGAGTGCTACTATCCATAGACAAAGGATCCCTAGGATTAGCCTGAAAACCTACGACAGAAAATAAAAATAGAACCACCTCAAAGTTACCCATGGCAGGTAATCAAATACATAATAGAAATATTGTTTGTCAGTCCAAAGAGTTCTACACAGCACCCAGCTCAGTAAGTTATTGCATACAGATCTGGATGGATGCTTTAAGATGGGAGGGCAATCTGGTTGCAACATCTGCTACTTTATTGCCAGGTTGATAGATGCTTTCAGGTTAAAAAGGTCACCTTTAATGGCTTTCCTGGTCCATGATGGACAGCAATATAAAGACACCAGTTTTATTAAAAATAAATAGGTATATTTTTGAGACAGGGTCTCTCTATGAAGCCCTAGCTGTCCTGGAGCTCACTATACAGACCAGGCTGTCCTAAAAGTCAAGATCCCCTCCTAAGTGCTAGGAGAAAAAATTCAAGGCATGTGCCACCACACTCAGTCTTATGCCCTATTCTCTAAGTCACCATTTGCCACAATACTCTATAATTCAGTCATCAGTCATAAAAGGATATTCCATCTCCATGCGAATGTCTTCTAGCCGTCCCTTCAGATCATATAAATCTTCCTCCGCTTGTTCATCAAACACGTTTAGCTGTACTCTCATATCATCATTGTCAATCTCCCGAAGCTCCTGGCAATGATAGAAGAAGTCAGGGAACCCAAAAATTTCCTGTGTGCCTAGAAATTCAAACCTTTCAACCTGGTGTTTAAGTTGAAAACCAGAATCACCTCAGTGGTGAACAGGGCTGTGCTAGCAGGGAGGAACAATCCAGACTTCTTAATGAAATGTTTTATCTTACCTGCAACATCTGATGCAGCCCCAAGCGCATTAGTTCACTTCGAATGTGAACTCGGAAGTCAAATTCTTCTGCAGGAGTGATGAGAGCATTGATCAGCTGTAGGCATCCCACCTGAAATAAGCAAACCCAGCTGCTATGTCAGCATTAAGCCTTATGGATAAGGATTCCACTCTCTGCATACGTTATGGGCTCCATAAAAAGATACAGAACAAAAACTATAGGAAAGAATTTTTACTAGAGCAACAAAACATTGTTGAGTGCAAGTCTGGAGTACTTAGTGTGTAAATGAATCCAAGGATCTAACAGAATATGTTCCTATAGAAAATTATTGCCCTTCCTTAGGCGCTAATAACTGATTTACTCCCCGAATATCACAAGGAGGAAAGTAGTTGTTATTTGGTTTTTAGAGAATAAAATCATTTTCTTCAGGGGAAAAAAAACACTAAAATATAAAAGACATAGTTGAGAATCACTCTATTATTTTTATTAAAAACTTTTAGTATTTTCAACTATGTGTGCATTAATGTGTGTGTGTGTGTATGTGTGTTGCAGGTGAATGCACACATGAACACCAGTGTCAGAAACCCCTGGAGTTGGAGTTACAGACAGTTGGGAGCTGTCTGAGAAGGGTGCTGGGAATTGAACTTGGTCTTCTGGAAGAGTAGTATATGCTCTTAACTGATGAGCCATCTCTCCAGGCCCCATACAGTCTATTAAAAGGCCAAATGACACTAGACATGGTGATGTAGACCCATGAATCAGGAGGCAGGAAAATCAACAATATTTGCCTGGGCAATTACCACATATGTAATTCCAGAACTTGGGAGGCAAAAAGATCAGATATGTCTAGCCTGGACTATATAATGAGTTTGAAGCCAGCCCAGACTCTAACAAAAATAAAAAATTAAAAAGGGGAGCTGGAGAGATGGCGCAGCGGTTAAGAGCATTGCCTGCTCTTCTAAAGATTCTGAGTTCAATTCCCAGCAACCACATGGTAGCTCACAACCATCTGTAATGAGGTCTGGTGCCCTCTTCTGGTCTGCAGACAGAATATTGTATACATAATAAGTAAATAAAAAAAAATTAAAAAGGGCTCCCAGGTTCAGTGGTCGTTCAATAGTAGGGGACTTGCCAGTATAAGCAAAGTCCTAGGTTCAATTTCCTGCACCACAGAAAAATAAAGGACAAATGAACTCTGATCTTTCCATTTTGAATTCTATTCTATTCTGTTCTATTGTTGGCCCAGTTTTAAGAGTGTATATACATACTTTGAGTGCAATGGAGGTCCCACTTTTTAATCCATCCAGCAGTGGCTGGAAGCGTTCAAGTTCATCCATTTCAGCTCTCTCTGTCATTGCCCCCAAAACTCGTTCATTCCTGTCCAAAATAAAAGAAAGTGAATTGCCCAGGTGCACTGACACAGACATGGATAGATTTGGCAGGGAATAAACCAATTAGGAAACAAGACAAGGCTTCTGAAATTATTCTCTTAACCCCCACAGACACTAGAATTTGATAAAAAGAAATGGATTATCTTCTGAGAAAAAAAAAATCCTAAAACCTTTCTTAGACTCCTACTCATGAATACAAAATTAAGACCTCTGAGCTATGAAATATAAATCACTCTGACTTTTTAAGGACCATTTAATATTAAGAGTACTAATCAATCTCTAAAAAACATTACATGTGGTTCATTTCTAGAATTTTCGGCTTGGAGTATCATGATGATAACAAAAAAGATTCTGTTTGAAGTACTGTGGATCTTCAGATACTCTACCTGTACTAAAATCCCAACATTCACTTCTGAGAAGAAATATGGCCTTACTACTAAGCCTCTAAACACCAAAAGGACACCAAAATAACTCAATTTCCCTCTACGTTACAAGATAGTAAAATGAGAAATGCAGAAATAGCTCCAGTCACATACATGTCATCTGGCTGTGGTAGGATACAAAGAGCAGACAGCAGCTTAGCTGCATCAATCATCATATTGGGAACAGCAGGATCCATGGCTCTGACCAGCAGTAGGATTCCTTCTTCTGTGTCCAACATGGTTTTGATTCCAAACTGGTAAGACAAGGACAAAGGAGCGAGGTTTAACGACAACACACACAAGCAAGGACATACTTAGGGCTTTTCATGAATAGAATGTTATCTCCTCAAATACATGTAAGAATGTTAATCCCCTAGAACCCTAGAGTGGAGCCTCTTGGGATATAGTCATTGCAGGTAAGATTAGCTAAATTACCACGAAGCCACACTGGTGTAAGGGAGGTTCTTAATCTGGTATGCCTGGTCCCTGTGTAAGAGAGAACTCTACATCCCAGACATGCACACACACACACAGCATCACAAGAACAGGAAGTGGAAATAAGAATAAGTGTCAGCGAGCTACTAGAGAGCAGAAGGGAAACACGGAACACTTTCTCCCTCCCGGCCTCAGGAAGACCCTGTCCTGGCTGACACAGGATCTTGGACTTCCGTCCTTCAGAACCGAGACCATGAATTTCTGTTGTTTAAGACACTCACTGTGGGGACTCTAGAAACTAGCACAGGAATAGAGAATATATTCCCAATAATAGTTAAACGGAAATGATTACAACAAAATAAACTTCCTAAGACACACAACAAACCTTCACGTTCCCAGGTGGTGGTACACACACCTCTAATCCCAGCACTCGGGAGGCAGAGGCAGGCGGATCTCTTGTGAGTTCGAGGCCAGTCTGGTCTACAGAGTTAGTTCCAGGACAGACTACAAAGCTACAGAGAAACCCTGTCTCAAAAAATAAATCCCAAACATTAACTACAAGTCAAACAATAAGATTAGTAAAAAGACTGTAAAGTACAAAAACACTTAGCCTACCCTCTGAAACAGAAATTAGAACTAATGGGACGAATTCCGTGAAGGCTCACATACATTGCAGTAAAGTACAGTTATAGTATGGAAAGGAAAGCCAAAGCCTTGAGCCTCAGTTTCTTCTCCTTCTGGCGGACTACAAAGGAGAAATAACAAAGATCTAGACAGCAGCTGTGGTCAAAATAGGGAAAAAAATCTCACCTTGTTGTTCATGAAAGCTTTCAAGCAGCGGATGATTTCATGCTGGTTCCGGCTGTCGTAATTTCTGCACACAGAAAACACAATCAGCAAAGTCCCTTTATTTTATAATGCATTCTCTTTCCATATGATTATTCAATCTTTCAAACAAGGACATCAGGAATACTTTCAACTAGCAGCTAAGCAGAATCTAACAGACAGTTATGAATGCAGCCCAGCATGTTCATAAATGGCAGCATTATGTTGTCATGTCAAAAGGTAGTACAGCCCAACATCACAAAGCACTTGACCCAGAAACACTAACAAAAATATCAACTGGCTAATACATTTGTAATTTGAGAATTTAGTATTAAATTAAAAACCTGCCAATTTGGGATTGGGCATAACTCAATAGTACAACACTTGCCTAGCAAGTGCAAGGCCTTAAGTTTGAACCCTAACACTAGTAAAACATGTGTTAAGTGTGCAAACAAAACTTCATCCCTTAACTCCCTTTAGGCAGCTAGGTATTAAATTCTTTAAGATACTATCCTATTACTCCTTGCCAATACTGAAAAAGGCTTTATATCTGAGAAAGTACACACAGACCCAAATCCCTGTACTGTTTGCCTAAAAAAAGATTCCAGAAGTATTAGGCACTTTGGATGGCAGAATAACAGCCTAAACTAGTTATGGTATTCAAGAATTTATCCCAATACTGAAGACTACTATAAAACTAAACCCAAATGAATAATGTATACTCCAAAAAAGACCTCCAAGTGTAATGTGGCCCAGACCAGATCACAGTACAACTGAAGATGAAATCAGATCCTCTTTCCAGACAGAAAATCAACTGGAGACTAATCATCTTTACTGGTCTGTACCCTTTTCCATCTATACTCTCATCTTCTAATCTCTTCCACAAGAAACTTCATTTTCATCCAACAGCATATTCCCCCTAGTCCATGAATCTGAATTTAACTGTTGTTATTTCCTTAATGAACAGCCCACTCTGGCCCTCAACTATAAAGACCCAAAATTCCTTACCCAGAAATCTCCTCTTTCTCATCATGGAGTCGTTTGAGAATATCCAATAAGGAGGCTAGGCCCTCAGCACCAAATGTCTGCACCCAACTGTAAAAAATAGATGAAAGGCAATGTAGTATCAATTTAAGTCAATAAAGGTTATTTGCAAAATCTATCCTAGAAATCCTTTACCTCCCATCCAGACCTTTCTCACACTTCCCTACCTCCTTTGGTTGTGAACTACAGCATGAGTTTCTGGTACTGTTCCCTCAGAATTCTCACCTGACAGGGTTATTGTTGAGAGAGACTCGAAGGGACTCAAGGCAACTAAGCAGATGCATATCCCGCAAGCCTGACCTCAGCTCCTGAATGTACATCATGGCAGACCTAGAGCTTTCTTTCTGGTTCATGCCCTGGAAAGAGGCATATAGAGAGGTCAGTAAACACTGAGCCTTGCCATAAGTTATTAGCTAATATTCATCACACAGTATAAAAATTAACAGGGCAGACACCCATTATACAAATTACCAAACTACATGAGATTCATAAATAGTTCATGAACTTAAAAATAAGTAAGGGAAAAAGTATAGAAAGGTGGCAAGTCAAGACTTAAGAGTAAGTCAAGAGGAGGTTTATCTAACAGGATTAAGCAGAATTAATAGAGACATAGGATAGTCTATATAATTAGCAGAATAAGCAGGTTCGGGGTAAGAATGCAACCTCCTGTGAGCATCTGCCCTAGAGCTTACAGCCGAGGAAGCGTGCAAATACTGGGACACCATCTCCCTCTTGATGACAATGTCCTTCTCTCTCAAAGGCTGTTGCTTCTCCTCATTCAGGTTCATATCCACCTAGCAAAGGGAGGGAGCAGGGAGGCAGAGAGAAAAAAAATAAAATTACCATGTAAGTTTTTGTTTTGTTTTGTTTTTCTGTGACAGGGTCTTACGATGTAGCTCTTGCTGTCCAAGAACTCACTATGTAGACCAGGCTTGTCTTGAACTCACAGAATTCTCCCTGTCTCTTGTAATTTTTCAGTGTTTAATATTTATTATACTTAGTAATGAGTTGAACACAGTAAATCATTAGGGAACAAATATGTTTTCTTGATTCCTAGAAGTTTAAATTATGGTAACCAATAAAAATCCCTCAGGGATAAAATCTGATTAAGTGCAGTACAGATCCCCACAGACACCATCACTAGTATGATGCCTGCATGTTGGCATACATGCTGGGTATACATACACTCTACCACTGAGCTATGTCTTTAAACCACTGGACACTTTAAAATATATACACTTCTGACGGTTTCACTAGGAAACAACGAACTCTTGATATATTTTCTTTTGTATTACTGAGAGGAAACCATACATAATATTTTCTGCATTAAAGGCAGACCTTCATCTCTCCAGTACTGGAAAACTGCTGCCATTTAAAAAAAAAAGAAGAAGAAGAAGAAGATCAACACCAACAAAATCTGTCTGAACTTTGAAGCCTAATCATTTATGCTGGTTATTGCAGGGTGTGCACAAAAAGTGTCCTTGTTCTCACTAGACAGCAAAGTAAGTCACAACCATGCATAGCTTGAAACTAAACCGACTTCAGATATAATCTTTAAAGACCTTCTATTTAGTAAGCTCTTTTCAAATTTCCCACTAAACAGAACCTCATGCAAATGATGCCTTTGTATTCCTCAGCTTTTTCTTTGTACAGAGGTCACTATAAATGCTTCCTCACTTCATCTTCTGACTTAGCCTCAAAGTGGTGACGACACTACCACAGGGCTTAGTCCACCCTCACTACATTTTTGTGGTTAGGGTATTGCCAGGCAGACATCCACTAACGAGGTAGTCAGTAATCAGATATTCCCAAGTTTAACTCACAGATTCTAATCCTGTGGACTGGAATTTACATATTTAGCCATTATTTCATAGGGTTAATATTAAAACATTTCACATTAAGCCTAGACTTCTTTATAGTAAACATCAACTTAGAAGACCATTCGTTTAAAAACAACCACCACAGACAGACAAAGGCCCATAACTGCGTGCTGGGCAGGCGACATCACTCAGAAGATGGCTCACCAGCATCTGTTCAAAGAAGAGTAGGATTTGCTCATCGGTGTATTCTTGCAATGGCTGTGCAGTGGGGTCATCTCCATACAAAGCAGAGGAGTTTCTATGGGCAGAATTGGGCTTTTCCTTCTCCTTCTTAATCCTCATGCTGGTAAATCTCTCCAGCTAACAAAGAGAAAGAAGTATTAGCAACGATCCACATTCCTCACCTAACAAAGCAAACACCAAAGAGCCAACACTTTACCCTCTTACACCGGCTTAGTATTTTTAGTTTATGCAGTCAAGATTTATATGCCATTAAGAAGAAATCATTTTTTTTCTCAAATCTAACACAGCATACTGACTTTATTCTCATCTATAATAAAGTGTAAGAAACAGAAAATGCTGCATTAAGGTTTCAAACCTCTCTAGACTGGTGTAGTGGCATAAACCTTTAATCCCAGCACTCTTGAGTCAGAGCAGGTGGATCTCTTTGAGTTCAAGGACAGCCTGGTCTACAGAGTGAGTTCCAGGACAGTCAGGGTTATGTAGAGAGACCCTGTCTCAAAAACCAAACAAACAAAAATTTAAAAGCTCTCTAAAAAGAAAACTGTTCTAAATTTCCCTTGCTATTTCTAAGCCTTCTGAACAGCATAGAACCAAAAGAATCTCATGTACAAATTTATCTCAATAAAATGTCCTTTGTTTCCTTCTAGCTACCCAATAATAAATGTGGCCAGGGCCCATGAGGATCTTTCCCTTCAAGAGGTATCTGTTTCCACAGAGTTTAAGACAAGTCATATGGGATAAAGAATCAGATATCTTAAAAATCTAGAACAATTCCTTTCTCTTCCTTTTGTTTCATGGCACTTGAGATATGAAAATATCTTTCAAATCTCTTTGCATGACATCTACTCAGCAGAGAATACATTCTACTTTAGAGGAACATATGCTATTTCCCTGCCAAATAAATACTACTGAACCATCCTCAAACTTAAATATAAATGTTCACAGTAAAAAGAGCCACGGAGGAGTGCAGCATTAGTAGCATAGTGGTGAGCAGAGCTGCCTCCTAAAAAGAGTCATGAGTCAGGTATGGTGACACACACCTGTAATCCCAGCATTCAAGAGGCTAAGGCTGAAAGTTCAGGCAGCCAGGGCCAATATCAAGTTCAAGGCTAACCTGGGTTTACAATAAAGGATCCTATTTGGTGGGGGTGGAAGCAGCAATAAGCTTCAGTGCCATCAGCTCAATCCACTGAAAATATCTGTAACTGTATGCAAAAAAAAGCACTGTGGGGCTTCAAATGGTGTAAGTGGCATCTAGAATGCAGGATGAATTCTAGCTAAAACTGTCCAACTGTGGAAGTAAAAAAAAAAAATCAAGAAAAGCATGCAATGGGTTAAACAAAGTGAGAAAAGACCTGGGGTATTCTGACATTAGAACCCACACTCCGTTACAAGTTAAAGTTACAGAAACTGCCGCATGTTAAGAGAAGAGAAAACGAGCCAGAACATGCACATGCTCCATACACATTTCCTTACCTCATCTGCCATGAGCCGCTTCAAAGTCTAGGAAACAGAGAAAAAAAGGAGGGAGAAGAAAAGAGATCAGTGAAATATCAAGGAACCTCCCAAACATCAGAAAGGTGGAAGGGAGAAAGAAAAAGAAAATAAACAGAAAGGCCCTAAGCTACCTTCCACACATTAACAGATTTCTGCACAGACTCTGGGAAGAGGCAAGAGAAGTTATAACAACTTGGTGGGGGGGGGGGGGTAGGGAACTGAACAGATTCTAAAACCAGTGACCAACCACCTTATGAAAAGTGCTCCATTTCACTAGTAAAAACACAAACTAAAACCACACTCAAGTCTGGCCTAGTGGTACAAGTCTGTAATCCTAGCTACTTGGTAGGCTAAGGCAGGGGTACCATGAGTTCAAAATCTGTGTGGGCTAGCAAGTGAATCCAAGGCAGGCCAAGAAACATAGTAAGATTCTTTCAAAATTTTAAAAGGGAGGTAAGGATGGATTAAAAGTTCAGTGGTGGAGTCCTTGCCTAGCATGCAAAGCCCTAGGTTTGATTCCAAGTATCACAAATAGATAGATAAAAATTGTAATAATGAAGTTATCAGCTCATATTCTCAAGGCTGACAGAAACACAGCTCATATGTAAGATTCTGGGTCTGATCCCTATCTTTTTTATCTGTCTAGCTGTAGAGGAAAAACGGCTCTCTCATACTTTGCTGGTGTTAGCACAAACCACTGGGCTAACACCACCAGGTAAAATTAAATGCACATACATTATAATTCAACACAGCAATATAAGCATCTGCCCTGCTGAAGTGTGCACTTAAATAACAAATTCATACACAGACATATTGCAATACGTGAAACAGGAAGTCTCAATAGCCAGCGAGATGACACCAATCCAAATCATATTACTTGGAATGGAAGATTATAAAAGGCACCAGACCTAAAATTTGTCCAGCCTATAAGATGAGCTGGGGTAAAGAGAGCACAGAAATTATGGGAGTGACTAACTAATGACTGTCACAGCTGGAGACCCATACCCTGAGAGGAAACTCACCCAAGGGCTAGGACCCAGAGGCAAGATACCCCAGAGATACAGGACAGAATCAAACATGAAAAGGAAAAAAAAAAATCAACGAAATGATTCATGATCCTCTGCTATACTCATAGATTGGTGCCTAGCCCAACTGTCATCAGAGAGCTTAACCTAGCAACTGATGGAAACAGATGCAGAGACCCAAAGCCAAACATCAGACAGATCTCAGTGAATCCTGCAGAAGAAGGGGAGATAGGATTATAGGAGTCAGTGGTGTTGAGGGTTCCCAAGAAACCCCACAGAATCAACTAACCTGGGCTCATAAGGGCTCAAAGAGACTTAACCGACAACCACAGAGTCTGCATGGGACTGACCTAGGCCCATGTTACAGTTGTATAACTTGGTCTTTGTGTGAGACTCCCAACAGTGAGAGCAGGGGCTATCTCTGACTGTGTTGCCAGCTTTTGGGACTCATTCCTCCTCCAGGATTACCTCCTCCAGCCTAAACAGAAGAGGGGACACCTAGTCTCACTGAAACTTGATATATCTTGGACTGGCTGATATCCAATCCCCCCTTCTACTCTCTCCTATGGAACAGTGGAGGAGGAATGGCTGGGGTCAGGGTGGAGGAGGAACTGGGAGAGGGAGGGAGGGAGAACTTTGAATGGAATGTAAAAACAAAATTAATCAATAATAAAAAAGTGCCGGGCAGGTGTGGTGGCACATACCTTTAATCCCAGGACTTTCTGAGTTTGAGGCCAGCCTGGTCTATAGAGCACAGCCAGAGCTACATAGAGAAACCCTATCTTGAAGAAAAACAACAACAACAACAAAAAAAAAACAAACAAGCAAAAAATTATAAAGGGCATGATTATCTCAAATGCCCAACAATGATTAACTGTGACAACTATAGGTTATGACTAAAGACAAAAAGGTGTTTGGAGTGTTTATGATTTTCTATTTCTTGACACGGGCAGTAACTATATAGATGTTAAGTTTATAATTGCTCGACGTTTTCTATTTTCTCTTACGTGTAATCACACACAAACGCGCAGTTACTTTAAAGTTTGAATGCTTTAAGTCTAGGAAGGTGGGAAGTTTTCTTCACTCTATTCAACTTCAACCATATTTTTGTTGTTGTTTTTGTTAATATTCATGAAAAGATAGGGTAAATGCCTCTTGACTAATGTAACTAATGAAAAAAAACCAGTTGTCTTCACCACAGAGCTATTTATCTAGTCTTTTGATGACAGGAAGATCTACACCACTATGATCCTCACAATCACACATCACAATTCAGTTAAGTTCACTATAAATTAAGAATATTCACTTTGCCCTCCTGGGCCCAGAAGAGGTCAAGTTTCCACTGGCTGAGTACAAATCACTTGTCTAAGAACATGAGAACCTTGCTCAGCACCCACAGAACTTCATGTGTACTGTTGGGAGTACAGACAAGAGGATGGCAAAGCACTACCCAAGAAGACTGCAAAACATTTCCTTATTTTGTATCCCTAAGTCATCTGACACACAGAGGTGGTTGTCAAACACACCTGTAATTCCAGCATTCCAGAAGCTAAGACGGAAGGAGCAGCCAGGGTTATACAGCAGGTTCAAGAGCAACCTGAGCTTACATAGAAAGGGTTCCTGTCTGACAGGGGTGGGCAGCAACAATAAGCTGCAGCTTCACAGGGTCAACACACTGAAATTAACAGTAACTGTATGCATGCACTGTAGGACGTAAGTGATATAAGTGGCATCTAGAAACAAGACACAGAGAGGATGCAACTTTCCTGCAGCTTAAGTTGTCATAGCCAAGATTCAGCTTATCTCAACATGGACCCCCAAATTACGAAGGTTAAAACAAAAACAAAAACAAGAAACAGTCAAGGAACTCTAAGGTGAATGTGCTATAGGTAACAGAACCGGGATCTAGACAATCCACAGCAGTGGGTTAAAGGAAAAGGAACTAGCACCTTGTTCTTTCTGTGTACAGACTCTGGGTTCATCTCTCTTCCATCCACTTCCATTACCCTGGATCCCTGCTTGTTCCACTGCAATGGTCTCTTAAACTACCAGGTACCTTCAGTTGTCTGCCCGACGCCATATCCATTCTTCAAATTAGATCCGAGAATACTCTTTCTAAAGCTGGGTGTGGTGGAGCACACCTGTAGTCCCAGCACCGGAGAGAAGATGAAAGGATAAGGGATTCCAAGTCATCCTTGGCTACATAGTAAGTCTCACCAGTCTGGGCTACAAGAGACTGTCTCCAAAACAAACAAATTCATTGCCTTCAACTTAAAATCCAAATTTCTTACCATGGTATATGACTCTGCTACTCCTTCCCCCAAGGCTTGCGACTGAACAAACCCTCTTCCCTCAAATGCTTATTGTTTGGCCACGCTGACCTAGCCGCAGGCCCCAGCAGCTGACAGTGCCTCACCATCCCAGCCTTCCCTAAACTGCGGCCTCCCTCGGCCACACTGTACTTCTCAAGCTAACTCACTCCAGCAGTCTTGGCAGGATGATGGCTTCTCCTGGATAGGTGCCTTTCCTGTGTTTCCAAAATAATAGCTACCTGTCTGATTCATAGTATTGAGAGTGGGCTACTTGCCTGCTCTA